TTGCCGTGAGACATGTGGGGCAGTTTGGCGACGGGGAGAGGGAAATTTTGCGTCCTTGCTACTTATCGGCGGCCGAACCATCGAATGGAGACCTGTGAAATTTATGAAGTACGAAATACCAGCCAAGGCTTTCACTAGAGTAAGGCTTGTAAACCGGAACTAGTGAAGCGGCAACAGTGCAAAATGCCCCTCCCCGTATCCTTCCGTCACCGAACTAGACCGACATTATGACTCCCATTTGTTCATTATTTTGACGCATCGTTTGTTCATTTATTTCGTTTGAAGTTGGTTTGATTTGTCACTAAATGTGTGTCTGTCAAATGTGTTTTACCGTCTAGGAGACGGTGCTAGACACGAACTGAAAGGATTCTTTGTGCAGAGCTCAGATTATCGCAGTACGGAACCCTTTTCTTCAAAGCATTCTTCCGTTAGTCAGTTTTACAAAAGAAACTCTGGCACGATTCCATTATTACTACTCTCAAACCTCAAAAAAAATTTCGCTGAAACTTTGTTCGCTGAGGCTGTTCAGTGCCCTGATCACGAATATGATATCCATTTCTGAAGCTGGCGCTATTTGGGACAGGCGCCAATTGGGCACCACCATCGATCTCATCAAAAGATGAAAACGTGTGTAGGGATTATTGACATCCTGATTACGAATACTACCCTCGTTTTTAACGCTTGTGCTAATTGGCGACAAAGTTGCGCTATCTCCTTTTTCACCAAAACCGATGAAAATTTGTGTAGGGGGTATTCAACATACTGATAACGAATAGGACATTCATTCTTGGCGCCGGCGCCAATGTAGGGCTTTGTTATCATCTCCGCTGTACTAAGGCTAGGCCTAGCGTGAACGGAATCACTATTCCTCCCAGGCTCGACCTCAGCAGAGCACTAAATTGCGTTGGTGTCGAGAAGTGAATGTCATTTGCATGATCAGGGTATCAGTCAACCCTTTTACGCAAATACATAGCAATTTTCATCCGGTTTGGTGAGAAGATGTGGATGGCATCAGAATGGCGCGATGCCTAGAAATGAATGGTCATTTTCGTGATCACGATGTCAAACACTCGCATACGGCCAAAAATGATTGTCATATCCGTGATCAGGAGGCCAAATATCATCTATGAGCGGACTTTCAACAAGAAATTTTCTTGAGTTTTTAGAGTACCTTGTCGTTGGAGTAAGGCCACAGCTCCTGAACTGCTCCCTTCTCTAGCAGGCTTGTGCCGAAGATTGTTCTGAAGTTTTCCCATAAAATTTTGCTGGTGGGTAACGGTTGTAACCCATGCTGCGCTGCGCCATTTGAGACCAGTTTCGATGTAGTTGGCGTCTGCTTTTTGTAACTTCGCCATGAAATGGATGTCGATTCATTCTACGTTCTCGGTTATTGACTGGACTGAAAGTTCTCTATATCTCATCGTCAGCTTTAAATTATTTTTTATTTCTCAAAAGAATCACAGAAGGAGCTAGAGCGTTCTTCCTTTTCGTACTTCATGTGAATAACTTGTCGTCAGTTTAAAAGTTCACTCAAATAAGTATTCTCAATTCAGTTTCATTGTAGAAATCGAATGGGCACTATTTCGTGCGACTCCTAGTTAGGTAATAGGGAACAATTGTTGTGTGGACCGCATTCGAGAGACTGTATCGATGGATGGCGTTCGAACCAGACGAGACTTGAAATGGGCCCGCACTCTCACTATGCCTGTGGTCACTCCGAACGTCACGCGAACGACAGAGAGGTTGTAATTTTAACACTTCAGATTTATCCCTATCGACTTTTTTCTTAATCTTGTGATTGAGCCTATTCACAGATCGTGTTAATCTCACTAATTACCTGCATGTGCACAAAATGGCTTTATGTTGCGTGAAATGGATACATGAAACCAGTAAGAGTACATTCATACTTTGCGGCAGCGTTTTGAGCGTCCGCTAGCGTATTAAAATGTCCACCTGCGTCCTCAGCGACCACGAAAGTATAGGTATCGATTCCGTTCCTGGCGTCCGCCAGCGTTTTGAGCGTCCACCGGCGTCTTTAGCGCTTCGAGCGACTACGAAAGTATACGTACTGATTATAGCTGAAAGCGGCGGACGCTCGGAACACTGGTGGATGCTCGAAAAGCTAGCGCTCAAAACGCTGTCGCAAAATTTGAACGCACTTTAGACTTGTCTTCGCGAACAGCTGAGCCGATCCCAATCGCGTGAAAATCCAGGGATTTACAAAACGCAATTCGAAGGCAAACTGAACTTTGGGCATGCTAGTGTCTACGAATGTTGGTGTAGAGTCCCATTTGCACATAACAAATTTCACAAGTCCTACGTCTTCACGAACTGTAATGGGCTTTATACTAACTACATTTGTTCTTCTCGCTCACAAAGTAGTTGACGGCAATGAGCCATCCAATGCACGACAAAAGCTTTTGGTGTCGATCGATTCTCTGCTAAGATGCACCATGCGCTCCCTTATAATCACAATCGTAGCACCATTTTGATGCGATTTCGCTTCCACAATAACTTGTGAAGCTGACCGCCTTAAAAATAGTTGTTTTTCTTCCCGGGGGAGTCTAATGCCGTAATCAAAATGAGTGACCAAATTGGGTGATTCTGGAAGGAAGCAGGATGTGCGGCGCATCCCTAAATTGATCGACCAAAACCGAAAGCTTTGCCACTTTATCCTTTCACACAGCTTTGACCAAGAAAATATCGTTCTTTCAACTTTTTGATGTACGTTCATGTGTTGTGTGAAACATATATAGGGGGGCCATACATTTTTTTGGGGAGTGGTGGTCGTATTTGGTCGTTGGGAGAGAGGGGGTGGTCGTATGTGTCGTATGTGCCTTTTAGAGAAATTTGTCGCGTTGGTTTTCCGATTGACTTTGCGTGATTTTTCCTGTTTCATGTGCACTATATGCCCCACCCCCCCCCCACCTCACTCGGCAGCATGGTCTGGGCGAAAAGTAGGCAAATTTTCGCGCACATTTTGCAGAAAAAGTCGCGCAGAATGTTAGGAAATTTCTCCCGTTTCACACTGGCTACGACGGAAAATTTTTTGGTGAAAAAAGGAAAGTGGAGGAAATTTATAGGTAGGTGTTGGGGACAGGGGGAAGGCGACTCGTACCACGACTCCTCATTAGTCGGCTGCCCACACCTTGTCTCGGAGGCGGGATCGGGTCTACCACCACCACCACCTCAACATCACCCTGTGTTACGTTTATTGCGCAACGGCGCAGTCGAGCACTAACATTCTGCGTTGCGCACGTCGAAGTTGCTAGGCACGCAGCGGAAGTTATTACTCTTTCGCATATTCTCTTTCAGTTTTCGCTTTTCAAACGGAAAAAAGTTCTCGCTTTAGCTTTGCTTTGTTTCTTTTGCTTGTTCTCATCCACATGATGATCTATGATCAAAATCATTATTGTAGATGAGAACAAGGAAAAAATACTTACTAGAGAGCATCCACCGGTTTTCTTTCCTCAGCTAAGATGTCTCGGCGGGTCTGTTCAGTTACTCTTGCGTCAGCCCTTCTGAGCCCGTTATTGGGTGGCCCAGGAACAGCATTGGGTCGACGAACTGATCGTTTCGTAACGCTTAGAGTCTATACACCTTTGTATTCCTAGTCGTGATAAACTGCATGCCAGCGTCTTTCGCGACTAGGAATATACCAGGTGACTAATCCTAGCGTTTGACGCATCTGCTGCGTTTGGTAGCGATACGCAGGTTATTAACACACTTTAATTTTCTGGGCGGAGTGTATCTCTTGACTTGATATTAGGACCTATACCCATTGATACTGGTTGCACAGCCATAATTTGTTCCTTGCGCTGCGGGGCTCGCAAGCGCCTCCACTCAACCTCAATTGTCACGCAAGACACAAACCAGCTTTCAAAACGAAAAAGTATTTCTGGAAAAGAATGTCAATTGTTGTAGGATGCTGCACCAAAGAGCTGACGGCACATTTCTGATAAGGGATTCGACGAATTTTCCAGGAGATTACACACTATCAATGGCTTATAGGGGAAAGGTACGACGTTACTGATTGTCACGACTGCCGTAACTCCACTAACTTTTGCTCAGGTGGAACATTATCGGATCTATCAAAGCGGGGGACAAATCACATGTGATAATGAGGAATTCTTTGCGAACCTCACCCAATTAGTCTCAGTGAGCATTTTTTTCTTTTCTGTCGAATCGTGGTTCCACTGGTATCTTGGCGAAGGTAATTATCTTCCCTTATTTAGCACTATAAGCGCGATGCTGACGGGTTATGTCATCGTCTCGTAACTCCAATAATATGCGAGAGCTATCGAATTCCCTCGAGCAGTGACACTATTGAAGATCGTACAAGTGCTTTTCTCAAAGCTGGTCTTGTTATACCATCCGGTGATATCCGTCTCGGTGACATTATTGGCCACGGCGAATTTGGAGGTCTTTTGTAGTTTTTTCTTATGTTTCTCTTTATTTGCTGATCTCATGTTATCAGTGATTTCAGATGTTTTGGTGGGATTCTACAAAGACAAGAAAGTAGCAGTCAAAGTTTCGAAGAGACATGGCAATGGAATGTTAGATTCGTTGTTGGATGAATCACGGTTTATGGTGTGAGTGAAGTTCAGTTATTACAGTTACTTTCTTTTCTGGATGTGGAGCGTTACTTATAAGTCGCGGCATCACTCCCAACAGAGTATCTCTTGGGCGACGTTCAGACTTCGCGACGGCAGTGCCTGAGTCGCGCGTTCGACGCGATCCATGCAGTCGAAAGCATGTTCATTAATCGCGTCAAACGCGCGACTCAAGCGCTGCCGTCGCGAAGTCTGAACCTGCCTTAGCTAGTTGGTTAGATGGACACAGGGATAGCTAGTCGAGATAGTTTTGTGCGATTGCTGCATACGTCACCCCGTTTGCAACGCTTGTTTTGCCGCATTCGTGGAAGCAACGTTCCAGACCCCTATTTTCCGGCGTACAAGGCTGCGTTCATACTTCGCGCTATGAACGCATTTCAAGGTGTAGGTAATTTGCAACGTCGCGAGAACGATTGTAAAGTTTTCAGTAATTTGGTTCATAGTCTCTGGATTGCCTTGGCTGTTTTCGAGTTTTTGGATATTATTTTTATTTTTCCTTCACTTTTTTCAAACTTCGTACACACCACCTTTCTCGATGCTCTCGCAGAAATTCGGTGATGCTTTTGAAGCACTAGTATTCAAGTCTTTGAGCCGCGAAGAACAGAAAAAAAACAAAAGAACAAGTGAAAACTCGCAAAATAAGGAACATTAAAATCATCTTTATGCTCGAAACAGTCTAGGCGTAGGCATGCCCCGTACGCTGGCGCGCCTTGTACGCCAGATGATAGGATAGATGATATCGACTGTTGAATCTTTCTGGAACCTAACTTCTTTGAAGCTTTTTGTTGCAGAGGACTGTCTCATCGAAATCTAGTGGCCTTGATTGGCGTTGTGTTAGATGATGCCAACATTTATATGGTGACGGAATACATGGCGAATGGGAACCTTGTGGACTTGTTGCGGTCAAGGGGACGACATCAATTGGAAAAGACACAGCTGATTCAGTTTGCGATGTAAGTTCCTATATCTGCGACAATGGGACTTTCGTGGATCGGTCAACAGTGTTCAAATCACGCAGGTTACTCTTTGCTCACGAAAAGCGCGTTGACGATCAGGCTTTTTAGCGTGTCTGCGTCGTTGGACGGAGTCCTTTGCTCCTGCCAAGAAGTGCATAGAAGTACTTGGCCCAAAGCAGTCCAAATAGGGCTGAATCTGCTTGCGCTTCGTAAGATGCATTGCAGCTATGCTACAAAACCTGGTTTTCAGTCAAAATGTGATCGCTAGAAATAGGGTGTATGCTCGGGAAAATTTTAACTCTTTCTGCTTCACGGCATCGGAACACAGTGTCACTATTGTGTTAAATGAAGCGCGCGTCAGATAGCACTTAGTTGATTGGCTTTTTGGGCGTTGCTGCAAAAGTGCACTAATCGCATGCCACTTTTATTCGATCTTCCGGTCAAACCTGTGTTTGGATGAAATTGGACGTGATGGAGCAGCGACAGAATTCTTTATTAGAGTTTGATGAACACTCAGTATTCGCAGGTGCACAGATGTTAGTAGTGGTACTGCTTATAAGATTTGCGAGTGAAGCGCAGATTTATTGGTAACGTTGGCGGAGTTCAGTTGGGAGGATGCACCATATGGTATCCAACGAAAATTGTACAGTCTACCATCTGAAGATTGTACAGGACTGAAAATTCCTGTGGCTTAAGTGGTTGTTTGCATTATTTCGCAGCTTCACAAGAGTTTGCAAGATTTACTAAAGCGATGCCTGTTAGTTGACGTGAACTAGCGAATGGAATTAGCAACAGTGCAAAATCCCGCTTTACCCCCCCCCCTCTCCCTAAGCGTAAGAGTGTCGGTAAAGTTTGTTGAGAATTATGTAGTATCTCTCAAAGCTAGAAGTTTTGGTACCCCATAGCAAAGCTCTCCAAGTATTACCTACATCTTTGTGCTTTTCAAACTCCAGCAATCGTTGATAAGGGAGCAGCCCCGCCGTGTTTTATCACGTCCAATCTCACCCAAGTGAATCTCAGATAGGGGCGAAACAAAACTGCCATGGGGCGAAATTGCCATGGAGTATAGACGCTGACAGTTCTACGTCGAACTCCACCGACTAAGCCTGTCAAGTGAGGCTGCGTTTATACTTTGAATTAGCTTTCCAAGCGTACGACAGCGTTTTGAGCCACTAGGAAAGTATGGATATCAATGTAGCATTCTGAGGGTACGCCAGCGTTCTGAGCGTACGCCATAGTTTTGAGCTCTTCGTAGACAGTCGCGGAGAATGCTGGCGTACGCTCGAAACGCTCGATCGATACCTATACACTTTACATCACCGCAATTGTCGGGTCGCAATCAGCGGCTCGCACCTGCGGCGTTTCCATTGGTTGCTCCCTCCCTAAATCGATCTTTACCCGATCGCCATTGGTAGAGCAACGAGGCCGAACGCCCATTTGGACCGCGTTGCACAGCCGCCCTCCGACAGTCCGCAATGATGAGGACTGTACTTTCCTAGTCGCTCAAAAAACACTGTTCTTCATCGGATTGGTGTAGCGGCTGCGAAAAAGCAAACCGCATCCTAAGTGAGTGCTGATAGAGTCACGGCAAATGAGCGCAATCATGTTTTGAGTGAATTGTATTTTTCTTATTTTAGTGATATATGCGACGGGATG